GACGGAGGAGCAGTCGGACGCGGAGGCGCGGGGGGAGGCGGGCCTGGAGGTCGGGCAAGCGGGGGGCCCAGATCAGTCTCATGCGAGTCGCCAGCTCCATGGTCCGCTCGACCCCTTCCCCGGGGCCTGGCTTGCCATCCTCACTCGCTCGCTGCGGGTCCAGGGGCCGAGGACGGCACCAGGGGGGTTGACGTTTTTTGACGATCTTTCTGGTAGCGGCCGAAGGCCTGGGGGGGGGGGGGGGCTTCGGGGCCGAGGGCACTCGCGGTGGTAACGCTCGGGCGGGATGGGGCACGTCGGGGCGCGGGTGCGCTGCGATCGCCGAAGTACGCGCACGAACGCCGCGCTGTGCCTGCGAGCACCACAGGGGCCTGCGCCTCGAGACCACCCGCGCGCAGCCCGAGAGGCACCGGCACGGCGCCCGCGAGCACCGGCGGGGCGCCTGCGGCACACCTGCGAGCATCACGGCGGCATACCTCTGGGCACCAGCAGGCGTAATGATCCCCAAGCCCTCCCCCCGCGTTCGATCTCTGGCGCTGCCCTGAGGGGTGCCATGGCGCCCGTGAGCGTCTCGCCTGGCCCACGCGCCTCCGCACCGCTGCTGGGCGCCGTGCCGCACTCGCCCTGCGTGGACAGCAACGGAGGGGGGGGAGACCACCGCGCCAGCACATATATTCTTTCCGCCACGCGAGCATGTCTGGAGCGGCGCGGCGGGGGGCCCGCGAGGCGGCGGCCCGCGCCCGGCCCGGCCGGAGAGAGTGCGGCCGCGGACCCGCCAGCGCCGGCGGCGGCCGCGGCGCCCTGCGCCGGCGGGAGGCCTCGCGCTGGGGAGGGCGGCGGGGCGGCGGCGGCGGCGCTGCCCGCTGAGGAGAAGCCCCCAGGCCTCCACAACGGACAACGTCTCGAGAAACGCGATGCGGATGGCTCTTCGCCGCCGTCCGCCTCCGTGGGCCCCCGCCGGGCCCCGCAGACCGCCCAAACGACGACTATGACTAGCAACGACTCAGGGTGAAGAGCTGGCGGTGGGAAAGGGCCGGGACTTCAGGGAGAGGCGCACCGAACTTCAATGCGCCTCTCCCTGAAGTCATTGAACTTCAATCATCGAACTCCAATGCGCCTCGCCAATCATTGAACTTCAATGGTTGAAGAACCCAAGGCGTCGGAGGCGAGGGCCGAGATCCGGGCGCCGCAGCTGTTTCGCACCGGGCGCTCTCGCCCAGAGATGCGGCCCCTGACGGATCGATCCTGCTCGAGACATGGCATGCCGCAGAAAGCTCGGGGTCGAGGGCTCTGAGTTGTCACGATGTGCTGGTCTGTGTGTCGAAGCGTCGGCTCTCAGGGGAGGGCACCAGGCCGCAGGCGACCGCGGTGTTCTGACCACCGAGGTTTGACTACCTACCAGACCACCCCCACCCAACCCGAAGACCCGAACTTCGCCGAATTTCGGGTTGGGGGGGGGAGGCTACGGGCTTCATATGCGTGTTTTCCACATGTTCTCCGAACCCCCCCCTCTGGAGATGGAGGGCGAGTCGGGGCCTCCGGGCTGGGTTAGGGGTGGCTTTGGTGGGCGGTGAAGGTCGGGGGGGCTCGAGCTCCTCTGTCGTCGGGGTGGGCCTGCCTCCGGCACGAGCCCCTCGCCGCGGCGGGGCTCCCCTGGACGCGGGGCGCATGGACGCTCGGCGGCTCGAGCGGAACCTGGCGGCCAGTTTTGCACTATGCTGGGCCTCGTTGGTGTGTTGTTAGTCCCCAGTGTGTGTGTGTGCTTTTTGTGTGTCTGTGTGTGTGTTTCCCGTGTGTTGTGTTTTTGTTGTATGTGTGTGTGCGTGTTTGTGTGTTGTGTGTTGTGTGTGTGGTGCGGTGTGGTGTGTGTGTGAATGTGTGCTTGAGTGTTTGTGTGCTTGTGTGCTTGTGTGTTTGTGTGTTTGTTTGTGTGATTGTGTGATTGTGTGTTGTTGTGTGTTTGCGTGTTTGTGTGTGTGTGCGTGTGTGCTTGTGTGTGTTGTGTGTTTGTGTGCTTGTGCGTGTGTGTGCTAGTGTGTGTGTTAGTGCGTGTTAGTGTGTGTTAGTGTGTGTGCATGTGTGTTTGTGTGTTTGTGTTAGTGTGTGCTTGTGTGGTTGCGTGTTTGTGTGGTTGTGTGTGTGCTTGTGTGTTTGTGTGCTTGTGTGCTTGCGTGTATTTGTGTGTCGTTTCCACAGTGTGTGTGTGTGTTCTTCCACGGGCCCCAGGCCATCAAGTCAGAACTAACACGGAGCGCTGGCCCCATGGAAGAGTCGAAAGGTCCGGGGAGCCCACGCCTCGAGCAAACCGAAACAAGCCGAGAAGCGCGGCAGCGGCCGCGGGGGACCGCTGGCACAGCGCGGCGCGACAGCGGCAGCGGCAACAGACTCTGCTACAGCCGCGACGCGGAAACGGCGGAGGCCATGGATCGAGTAGGGGATCGACTGCAGAATTGATGTGCCCCAAAGTTGATTTGTCCGTCGAGTCCACAGACGAATGCGTAGAAGGTTTTTGAGATCTACGGCGCATGCTTCGCAATGTTCGGAGATTCGACGAACAGATAAATTGTGGGGTGAATCAATTCTGTAGTCGATCCCCGACCCGAATGGAAGAGGACGAGGGGAGGGCACCCGCTGCTCACGCTAGGAGGTAGGCCAAGAGGGAGGCTGGAAGGGCGCTCGCTGCAATAAGAGAGTGGAGCAGGAGGAGGGACGGGCGCCCGCTGCTGCCATGCGGGAGACCTGATCTGCATGCGGGTCAACTCGAACGCCCGTTTGCCGAACTCGTCTCCAGACCTCCGGAGTCGTCCCACCCACGATCGCTCCCGGGAACGGCCCCGGGACGCCGAGAACGGCGAGAACCGCCTCGATCTGTTCAAGGCGTTGGAGGTCTGGGTCTCAGGGGAGCGACGACCAAAAAGGGGCCTTACGCCAGATGGCATAGCGACCTTACGCGGTGGCTTGCGCGGGCCGCCAGCGCGGCACGCTCTGTTGGAGACGAGGGCGCTCACGCGCGAGCGTACGCGGCCAGCTTCCGCGCCGATGTCGGCGAAGACGACCCCGCTCTTTTGCGTCGCCCAGGGGCAGTGGACGCCTCCAGGGGGGGCCGCTCTGCGGAGGCCCAACCTGGCGCGCAGAGGCCCTGCCCTGGCCGCGGCCGGGCGTCCCCGACCCACGCCCGGGTGCCGTGAAGGCTCGCGCCGTCACTGGGCAGGGTGCTCACGCCTCGTGGGCTCCCCAGAGGCAGCGCGCCTGCCGACCCCGAGGGCGCTCCGCGCCCCCAGGCCGAAGCGTCGAGGCTGGCGCGGGCTGCCCGGGCTCTGGCGGGGCCTGCTGAGAGCAGCTGGGACTACCCGGGTCAGGTCGGGCATGTCCCCCTACAGGCGAATGTGGGAGGAGAGATACAAAACATATTTAAAAAATCCGCAGAACTGGCCAAAACTGTTCGAAATATCGCCCCCATACTATTTCTGGACTATTTTTGACTATCCCAGTGCGACCCTACCTAGGAGTTAGAGCATCTAGGAAAGCAACATCTACATCTACACCGACAGCTACATTAACATCTACACCTGCATCTACATCTACACCAACATCAGCAGCGAGACTCACATGTACATCTACATCTACACCTACATATACACCTACATATGCATCTACATATGCATGCTATGCTGTGCTGCAGTATGCTATGCTATGCTATGTTATGATGTGATATGCTATGATATGTCCTGAAATGCTGTGATGTACGATGTTAAGCTAAGCTATGATATGATATGATTTGATATGGTATGGCATGATATGCTGCGCTATGGTATGATATGCAATGATATGGTATGTTATGTTATGGCATGATATGATGTGTTATGATATGTTATGATATGATACGATATGTTATGATAGACTATGCTAATGCTACTGCGACTGCTACTGCTACTGCTAATGCTAATGCTAATGCTAATGCTACTGCTAATGCTAATGCTAATGCTAATGCTAATGCTGCGCTGCGCTGCGCTAAGCTGCGCTGCGCTGAGCTAAGCTAAGTTAAGTTAAGCTAGGCTAGGCTAAGCTAAGCTAAGTTAAGCTAAGCTAAGCTAGGCTAGGCTAAGCTAAGCCAAGCTAAGCTAAGCTAAACTAATTTAAGCTAGGCTAAGCTAAGATGAGATAAGCAACGCTAAGCTAAGGGGACGTAACTGGGGGAACCGCGGGGCGGATACTGGGGGAACCGCCGGGGGCGTGGAACACTGCCCGGCCCTTCAAGCATACCGAGTACGAACCCTTCTAGGCAGAGCCTAGGTAGGGAAATATTCCTCCTGTAGAGGGGCGTGCCCGACTTAAGACTACCGGGGCTGTCTGTGCGACCCCCCCAAGCTTTGCCGGTCGGCACGGCTCGATCTTCCAGACCTGAAGACGCCAACGCGCAAGTGCACCCAGCGCGCGTTGAAGCCTCCCGAGCCAGGACGGCCATGAAATTACCTGGAGCCGCTCTGCTGCGGCTCCCAGAGTGATCGCTGTTGTGATGCTTATGATGCGAAGAAGAAAAACCGGACGTAAACATAAGCTTTCGGCGCTCCGCGCGGACTTCTTGGATCTGCGCTGGACCCCCCTCCCCGGCGCGCGGAGCGCGCCAGGGGCGGTGCCGGAGGCGCCGCCGGGGTTGCCCAGCGCGGGTCCAAGAAATCCGCGCGGAGCGCCAACAAATGTATGTGTATGCAGTTTGTTTCTTCTTCTTCTTCTTCGAATGATGGCGAGGAGCAGGCCCCTCTGTCTCGATGGGGTCCCCCGCATCTGGGGCGCAAAAAGCGCGGCCGACCCGGTCGCGCGGGGCCGCGCTCTCGGCGCCCTGCCGCCTGCCCCACGCCCGCCAGCCCTCCCGTCGGTACCGAAAGCCCCCTCCTCAGAACCCTCCTCCTCCTCAGAACCCTCCTCCTCCTCAGAACCCTCCTCCTCCTCCTCCTCCTCCTCCTCCTCCTCATCCTCCCTCTCCTTCCCCTCCTTCCCCTTCCACCCTCATCAGAACGTCGACGGCCCCGGCAGGCCTCTGAAACTCAAACCAACAAAAAAACAACTAGCGACATCACGCGACACCGCCGCCGCCGCCGGGGGGGGCATGCACTCGGCGCTCAGGCGCGCTCACCTGAGGAGAGGAGCCTGACGCAGAACTAGCGGGGCGGCACAGGGCGCGGTAGTCCAAAGCTTCCGCACGAAGGTTCTAGGCTAGGAGCCCCTGCCCAGCCAGGAGGTGACGAAGCCTAGGCGTGATCTACTCTCCTCCTTCTTGGCCTCCTCGCGGCGCTTGGCCTTAGCGAGCCTCGCGGCGATGGTGGGGTCGTCGTCGAACTCCTGCACCTGCAGTCAAGCGCCAACCATGCACCGGCAGAGGCACGGGCCAGGCCCCTCCCAGGCCCAGGATTGGTGCACAGAGACTCGAGAGCCAGGCAATGAGGCTTCTGCCTACGGATCCTGGACCCTGCAGGGGCTTGGCCAGTAGCAGAGCCGGAATACGGGTGGCAGCTCTGCAACCTTCCTGCCCGTCATCCAGTTGGACTGCGAGAAAAACGACCACTGTGGGCCACCGCCGCCGACGAGCGGGGAGGGGCCCGCGGGAGCGCCGAAGGACACCGCGGCGCCGCCCGATCCACTCATGACCAGCTCGTCCTCGTCGTCGTCATCGAGGTAGCCTGGCTCGCCCTGGCTCTCGTCCTCGTCGGGACCCTCCCCCGGCACGTGCGGCCCCGCAGGGCTTCCTGCTGCAGCTGGGGTCGCTGCGGCAGGGGCAGGGGCATCCGGGCCCTGGACCCCGAGGGGCCCTGCAGGCGCGGCTGCGCCGGCGCTGGTGCCACCAGCGCTCACGAGGGATATCCCCTCGATGCCCTCTGCCCTCATCGCGGCCAGCACGTCGGCCAGGAAGACCGCGTCGGCGGCCACGGCGGCGGAGCGGGTGCTGACGATGACGAGACTGCCCTCGAAGGTGACGCTGACGACGCCAGAGACGGCCACGACGCGCTCCAGGATCACAGCCTTCACCTTCGCCTTCACCCTCCAGGATTCCGCCCCGACCTTCAGCACAACCTCGCCCCTGCCCTCGGCGTCGTTGGGGGCGGCTCGCGCCGCGCGCGGGCCCCACGAGGACGACGCCGCGGCCGCCGAGGCCACGGCGCCAGAGAGCGGCGTGGAGGCAGCCGTGGAGGCGGCGCTGGCCCCATTGGCAGCGCCGGCCTCCAGCACCTCCACCAGGATGGCCTCAATTTCCTCAGCGTCCGCATCTGCAGTCCCGGCAGCCCGGGACACCCTGCTCCGCTTGAGGGCGCCCCTGGCCCTGCCGAGGTCGATGGCGGCCAGCTCCCCCGGGTAGCCCGCGGTCAGCTTCAGCAGCGCCCTGGCGGAGTGCAGCCGGACGCGCGCGTCGGGGTGGTCCAGGAAGGCGAGCACCGCAGCGACGACCTGGCCCAGGCAGGCCCGCATCTCCGGGGTCTGCGGCCCCTCGGCGAGGGCCTGGATCTGCCTCACCGCAGCGAGCGCCTGGTCGGCCGCCATGCTGCCGAGAGGCCCGGGGGGCGCGCTCCCTGCGGCGGCGGGGGGGGGGGGGAAGCGCCCCGTGCCGAGCGCCTGCTCGCCGGTCGGCGGGCGCGCCCCTGCGGGGGCGGGCCCCGCGCCGGCCAAAAGGGGCGCGCCACGAGGTGGGGGACGCAGGGCCTCGGCAGTGCGGTGTGCACGGCGGCAGGGAGGGGGAGGAGAAGGACGGGGTCGGTGGGCGGCAGCCCTCGAGAGGAGTGGTGCGCGAGCCTGGGCGTGCGGAGCGGCGGCGCGGGTCGCAGGGCACGATGGAACGGTCGCATGGAGTATCTCCACGGGGGAAGAGAGCGAGGAGGGGCCAGAGCAGAGAGGAGGGAGGGGATGGAGAGCCCCAGGATCCAGGGGGAGCGGGAGAGGGCCGAGCAGGAGGACGACGAGGGCCGGAGCGCACTGCTGACGCCCGTGAGGGCAGGCACGACCCTGCCGATTTGGGTGGGGCACGTGGGCCCTCCCATCCTTGAGAGCGATGCTCGCGAAGGATTTGGGTGATCAGTGGATGCTTTGAAAATTGATGCTGTGGATGTTGAGATCGATTGTGAGATCGATCGTGAGATCGATAGTGGAATCGATAGTGAGGCGAATTTTGTAAGGTCGATCGTGAGACCGAGAGCGAAATCGATTCCATGGGATCGATAGTGAGATCGATCTCGAGATCTCTCATGCGATCTCTAGTGAGATCGATTGTGAGATTGATAGTGAGATCGATTGTGAGATCGATGGTGAGATCGATCGAGAAGTCGGTAATGAGATCGATGGTGAGACCGATCGATAAGAAGATCGACCAGGAACCCAGGAACCCGGGAACCTCGCCGCCCTCCGAAATCGGTCCGGAACCTGGAACCAGGAACCCGGGCACCCGGGAACCCAGCCTGCCACCAAACTCGGCGGGGCACTTTCGCCAAATCCTTCAACTTCCGCTAGGACCCCTTCGGTGCAAGCACTGATTGCGGAAAAAACCTCTCGGCCCGGAGCCAGGTCACGAGGAGGAGGACCTTGGATGCGGGCGGCCGTGGGAACTCGACGGCGCGAACTCGCTGGGGCGCGCGAGCTCCCGCCCCGGCCCGCCGTGCGGGGGTGCCGTCGCGAGCTGGGGGAGCCGCGGCGACACGGCGGGGCCGCCCTCCCCCATGCCCCGCGTCGTCGGAGCGCGGGGCGAGGCACTCTGACAGAGGGGTGGGGGCCCCAACGCCAGACTCTGTGCAGGGTCTTCGAGCGGACGCCTCAACTGAACCCAAACCGGAGGATGGGCGATGGGGGGGCGGACATCCCCCCGTACAGGTGCGCCCGCATAGCCCCCTTGGGGGTGTCCCTGGCGTTCCCATCTTTTCTGGGCAGCCGGAATGTTCGGGGGGGAGCTCGGGGCTTGGGAGCGAGAGGTCGCATACGACGACGGAGCGTGGGGCGATGGATTCGGCTCGGCAAGGACGGTTGATCCGCGCCCCCGAGGCCACGAGACTTCGGGGAACAAGTGGCCGAACCGTACTCCTACGGCCGCGACCCGTCCTTGATAGCGCTAATCCGAGCCCTACACCTTGCAGTCAAAGCAGGCAGCCTCTCGCCCGGCCAGCCTGCCAACCAGCCAGCAAGCCAATCGACGAGACAACCAGTGCGCTACCAACCTGCCGACCGAGCAGCCAAGCAGCCAACCAGCCCAGCCGCTCCAGCCATGCAGGCAGAGGAGGGGACATCCGCGGGGTGGGCCTGAGGCCTCTCGGGTGCCGAGCAGGGGAAGGGAGAGGGGGGCGAGAAGGGAATGGAGGAGGCAGACGGCGAGGGCGAGGGGATTCAAGGGGGTCGGGGATCTCGTGCTGGTGTGTCGCAATGTCCTCGTGCGTTGCTTTGCCTCCAGAGGCCTCCCGAGGCGCGGCCCTCTGAGCAGCCCCCCCGCGCTTCTCGGAGAGCGCGGGGCGCACGGTCCCCGAGGGGGGCGACCCTCTTCCCAGAAACCCCCCGCCCTCTGCACGCTTGGCAGGCTGGGCCTCACTGCCCACTCCCCGCTGGCTCGCCGCCGCGGAGAGGTGGATGCGAGAAGGAGCCGGAGCCTGAGGAGAAAGCACAGGGGCAACCAACTACAGTGGAGGCCAGTCCAGAAGAAGCCTTCCACAAGAAGCCCAAACCTGAAACCCCAGAAAGTCCATCGATTTCTGGTGTGGGGGCGTCGCGCTTTCCATAACGAAACCATCAAAACCAAGGAACCCAGGGCACCCTGGAGGCAAGCCGGGTGTTTCTTGGCATGGGCCTCCACTGTAGGAACAGCACAGCATCGACAAGCGGAGGGCCCAAGCGCCGACGGGCGACGACACGCGGAGGGTCCGCGCACCGACGGGCCAGGGAAGGTCTGCGCGGAGGGTCTGCGTGCAAGCGTGAGCAGATCGTGCGGGAAGGGAACTGGGCGGGGGGGAAGGGAGGGGGAAGGGGGCGCAGGAGAAGGTGGACAGGTAGGTAGGTAGGCAGGTAGGTCGGTAGGTGGGTAGGTTGGACGGTAGGTAGGTAGGCAGGTAGGTCGGTAGGTGTGTAGGTAGGCAGATAGGTGGGTAGGCAGGCAGGCAGGCAGGCAGGCAGGCAGGCAGGTAGGTGGGTAGGTTGTCCTCCCGTAGAAGATTGCAAAATGGGCCCGCGAGAACGGGTCCTTCGGCAGAGGGTCGCAGGGCCGAGGAGACGGCTGCATCGGCTCTGCAGCGTCCACCCGGGGAAAGGGGGAGGAGGGAAGGAGGGAGGGAGGGAAAGAATGTGTGTTCCCTCCCCCCCTTCTCCCTCCTCCGTTTCTCCTGCCCCCCCATGGCCCCAGATGCACAGCAAAACTATGTGATGAAACAAGCTGTCCTCGATCCGTTCCTCCATTGGGGATCCCAAAACCGCGTGGTGACAGACCGTGCGGTGACCTCGGCACCCCAAGAGGCCTCACCGCACGCTCCGTCACCGCACGGTCTTGGGACCCTGGAGGCCCCTGTCGCCCGGGACATCCTCGGAGAGGGACTCGCGTCCCAAAACCGAGGGGTGACCCCGAATCTCCCTGACTCACCACACGGTGTGGTCACCACACCGCCTGGGGGGCCTCCCACTCCCCCGCCCACGGAAGGGAAGAGCCGCCCCCGCCCAGGACAGGCGCACCTCCGCGGCGGCGGAGCGGCTGGGCCAGAGGAGGCCACGCCGCGGCGCCGCCGCGGCACCGACCGCCTGACGGCGACCGCGGACGACGACGTTGCCGCGCGGCATCGGCGGCGGCGTCGTCGACGACTGCGTCGACGACGGGCGGCGGCAGCGACGGCGGCGGCACCGGCAGCGTCGACGACGACGGCGGCGGCGGCGACGGTCCGATGGCCGCTGGCTCCCTGGGGGGCGCGGTGGCGAAAACGTGCGTGCGGACGGCGGTGGTCGAGCGACGCACCTGTCACATCGGCCGGAAGGAGCCCTGCCGTCGGAGTGCGGCGGTCGGGCGACGCACCTCCAGCCGGCCAGAGGGGCGCCCTGCGGCGAGGAGGGAGTGATGAGGCGGCCGAAGAGAGGGCACAGCCGAGGGGCGCGGGAGGGCGGAGGGGAGGGGGAGAAGGGGGCGGCGCGCCCGGCACGCCACGCTGCTGCGCCCGACGCACACGAAGGGGGGCAGGGCGGTGGTCAAGCGGCACCTTTCTCCGCGTGGACCTGCTGCGGCTGCATCTCCGTCCCCTTCCGAGGCGCCAGGACGGGCGCCATCTTGGCCGCCGCGCTGGTACTGCAGCCGAAGGGGCGTGGAGACACGGCGCTTCAGTCCAGTTCAGTTCGGGAGGAGGATCGAGAATAGAGGACCGATGAAATTCCAGGATCGAGCATCGGAGGTTCGAGGAATCGATGATCGAGGTTCGAGGATCCAGCTTCGAGGTTAAGCAGCACCTAAGACCGAGACTCGAGGATGTTTGGGCTTCACGCGTGACCCTCGGAGCGCCCGCGTCGCCACGGTCGAGTCCGCCCCGAGATCCTGGCAAGAATGCAACCAGCGGCAGGCCCGGGGGGGGATGCCTGAGAGGCAGGAATGAGGAGGGCCCGGTCCTCCATCGATGACATGCACAAAGTGTGTTAGCGCCAACGTGCACTTGTCCGCCGAAGCTCTTCAGAACGACGCAGGCGGTGTTGTGAGGGTTCAGTCCCGGTCTCTTTCCTTACGGATTTGGGATTCCGCGGGGCGCCCATGGGCATCGGGTCCATCAGAGAACCGAGATGGCAGACCAGCCCAGAAGACGAGGTCGGCTGGGCTCCAGGCAGGACGCTTCTGCAGTGCCCAGGAACTGGTCCGCCTCGACTAGTGTCGCGTGCAATAGTTCCTCGAGGGGGCTCCTGGCGCCATGTTTCACGCAACAAGCTCGGTGTCGGGCGGGGTGGGCGCAAGTGGACTCTGCCGGTGGGGCCTTCGGTGGAGATCCCTATGAGGCCACGAACCGTGTGGGAGGTGTGCCGACATGGACACTCGGTGGGCGGGGTGGGCGCATGTGACCTCTGCCTCTGGGGCCTTCGATGGAGCTCCTTACGGGGCCACGAACCGTGTAGGAGGTGTGCCGACATGGCCATGCGGTGGGCGGGGTGGGCGCATGTGGACTTTGCCTCTGGGGCCTTCGGTGGAGCTCTTTATGGGGCAACGAGCCGTGTGCGGGGTGTGCCGACATGGACATGCGGTGGGCGGGGTGGGCGCAAGTGGACTTTGCCCCTGTGGCCTTCGGTGGAGCTCCCAATGGGGCCACGAGCCGTGCGGGGAGCGTGCCAAAATCGTGGACATGCGGAAAGCACAGGCAAGGATGGGAGGAGGGAGGAGGAGGAGGAGGAGGAGGAGGAGGAGGAGGAGGAGGGCTCCGGGCACACGCGTGCGCGACCCGCTCGGCCCCTGCCCAAGGCAAAAGGTATCAACGGACGCTGCCGACTTATGCGCCCCAGACGTTTCCATTGCATGGTTTGCGTGTGTCGTCGAAGCAAGACATCGTCTTGTTGATGATTGTCCTGAAACGCTGGTGTGGCAGAGCGATCATACACATGGAATGCTGGCCCTCCGCATGTGAATCCACTCATGCTTCGTCGCAGGACCATCATGATCACCCTCATCATCATAAAGATACATGCCATAACACACTGGTGTGGCACACCGGTGTCAT